TGCATAAGCGGGTGCAACATTAACTTAAACTCAGCTCCTTAAGGCCTGATTATTCCCCTCCATTTTCCATGATCTTTTCCATCTTATTCTCCTTTATAGCGGGATAAATATAGTAACTTCAAATTAAGTTCCTTGACAGCAACCCAGATTTAGTAGATCCTAAACCCTAAACCCCCCTAAACCCTAAACCCCCCTAAACCCTAAACCCTAAACTCTCAGATGATGGCAAAGTTGAGATCTCGCAGTTCATGTCTTGGCTCTCTGGCAAGTCACAATCTGGGCCTCAGTGCGCGACTTGGCTGACTCTTGGTTAGCTGGGAAGGAAGGCAGGCCATGGAAAAGAAAAGGGAAACTATAGGGATGATGGGGATGATATAGGGTTTGGGGTTTAAGAGGAATGGAAAGGTTAGCTGAGAATGAAGGCATGGAAAAGAAAAGGGAAACTATAGGGATTATGGGGATGATATAGGGTTTGGGGGTTTAAGAGGAATGGAAAAGAAACGGAAACTGCTATTATTGGGTTATGCAGGCACTACTATAAGGATCCATTCCCTCATTCCTAGCTAACCGAAGGTAAGTTGGAGGGACAACCTGATCCTGGCCACCGACAGCTACAAGTTCAGCCATTGGAAGCAGTATCCACCAGGTACAGAGTATGTGTATAGCTACTTTGAAAGCCGTGGTTGTGACCGTGGGTGGGACGAAGTCGTTTTCTTCGGACTTCAATATTTCCTGAAGCGATACCTTCTCGGGCCCGTAATCACCAGGGAGAAGATTGACGAAGCTGCTACCCTCTGTTCGGAGCACTTCACTGGTGAAGGCTTGTTCTACAAGGAGGGGTTTGAGTACATCCTTGAGAAGCACGGTGGCAAGCTTCCTATCTCAATCAAAGCCCTTCCTGAAGGAATGGTCATGCCCACTCGCACAGCTCTGTTCACTATGGTAAACACGGACCCAAAGTGCTTCTGGTTGACGAACTATTTGGAGACATTGCTCGTGCAGGTGTCGTGTTGAATCATTTGTCCATGTCCATGTGTTGCTGCACGCGGGGCCCCTGCTCCTTTCATTGAACATCGCCTAGCCCTGACATTAGTTAATTGGGTCAGCCATTCATGGGCTCTGGTAGGGATGCTTAACCTTCGGGAAGAGGGGAAAACCATCACTTTTTGATGAGCAGCAATACACCCGCACAGGTGTGGTACCCAATGACGGTCTGCACAAACAGCCGCTACCAAAAGAAGCTGGGTTGCTGTTAAGGAACTTAAATTAAGTTACTATATTGGGGAAGCCCCATTATTTACTACATATACCCATTATGGTAACCCTAAACCCTAAACCCTATATACCCATTATGGTAACTTAATTTAAGTTCCTTAACAGCAACCCAGGAAGAGCATCCACGAGGAGTTG